CCCAGGTGGGGAGAGGCTGTGGGCTCTAAAGGTGTCAGAGCAGGAGGCAGAACACTGTCCCCTCCCTGACCCTCCACCAGGCAGGACCTTTAGGGATGGAGGCAGTGAAGAGGATCCTGGGAGGGGACCAGAGGTTGGACTCCAAGCCACAGCCACTCCCCTGGTTTCCACCAGGCTGTCTAACCTCCCTCCCTCCTGCTGCAACCCGAGTCCTGGGCGCTGGGCCGGCATATCGGGTGACCGCGGCGACGCAGCCACCAGCCTCCGCCGCTCCTCTGCGGGGCTGCGCCGGCGGGGCCGCGCCGGGGGAGGGGGCTGCGAGAGGGGATGTGCACGGCGGCGCGCTGCGCCGCGCCAGGTGGAGTCGCGGTTACCGGGGCGACCGGGGCCCGGGCTGGCTCGGCGGCGGCCGCGGCGGCTCTCGCATTGCAGCAAAGGGCACCAGCGGCGGCGGCCGCGGCTGCGGAGGCGGCCGGGGGAGAGAAGAGCCCGGGCGGGTGGGAGTAGGGGCCGCTCTCCCTCTCCCGCCCGACGCGGGACCTGGGGCTGGGGGACTCGCACGTACACCTGTGGCCGCAGGTAAGGGGGAGCGCCCGTGGGGGCCCTGGATCGCCGCCTTGGGTTGGGCGGGGGGCGGGGACACGGAGATGCGGCCCGCGGTACCGAGAGCCATTCAGGGGTGGGGGACGCCCAGGCCATTGCGGGTTCCCTATCCCTGAGAAACGCCTCCTCCCCTCCCCCACCGCATTGGGTGCCTTCAGTGTGGACCGGCCCCCACTCCAAAATCAGACTGGCGCCCCCTCCCCCAACCTCGAAAAGTCATGACCTTCCCGGGGTGCGCCCTCGCCCCCAGCGCAGCGCAGGTCCCGCAGCACCCCCCACCCACACACACACTCAGCATTGGGAAGAAGATGAGGGAATCATCCGTGCACCTGGAGGAGAGGGTCGTGCATGTACGTCGCGCTAGGGGCAGGCGCCCGAGGAGGGGGGGCGACTGGCTTGGCCCCAGCCCGGGGACGAGTGTTTACGCGGACTCTTGTTCATGGGAGTTGAAAGGTGGGTGTGTGCACCGGTGCAGCAGAGCCAGGGGATTAAGAAGCCGGTGTGGACCGTGGGTTGTCCTCCCTCCTTGGAGGATGCGTGGTCGGGGGCTTGAGGTCAAGGAGGGGTCATGCGCTCACTGAACCTGCTGGGGATGCCTGCCCAGGGAGGAAGGAGACTCAGCTGGCTGGGCCAAGCCTTCCCAGGGGCCCCAGCCCCTCCTCTCCCAGGGCGCAAGGGCTGAGGGAGGAAAGACCAGCGGGGTGGGGGGGTGGGGGGGAAGGAGGAACCCTGGCTACCAGTGACTAGGATGGAAGAAAGAGAAAGGGAGTTAACTCCTTAGCCCCCAGAGGGAAGAAGCTGTGTTTTCTTCTCACCAGGGAGTTTGAGGACTCCCCGGCCTGGCTTCCTTGGGCCTTGAGAGATGCTCCCCTCTGCTGTTTCCCGGAGCCAGGTCCCTAGGGTCCTATGCTTCCGTCTTACCCTCTTAAGACACCTCTCATTTTGTCCCAGCTCATTTAAGATTCTTCCCCACAAGTGGGCCCCTGGTGGGGTCTCCCCTATTCACCCCTTTCTTTTTTTCCGCCTTTCACTGTCTTTTGGGAAGGTGAGGCCCCCTCCCTGACTGTGGGGGTGGGAGACAGCTTTGGCACTGGAAGAGTTGGCTTGGGGTGGACAGCCAGACCTTTCCTGGCCCTTCCCGCTCTCTGCCCTCCCAACTTGGGGGTTTCTGGTGCTGGGAAATTCCCAGGGAAAAGGCCCAGGAGGCTGAGCAGTGCTGGGTGCCAGGAGATGGAGGGAGTGGTGCCAGACCAGAGTATTCAGAGATCCCACCCTCCTCCCATGGCTCTGTCCTATTTTGTTGACATTCATTCGTCATCACATACTTGTTGAGTGCCTGCTATCCACCAGGCACTGTATTGGCACAGCAGGAGGAACAGACACCCCGGAAAGGGGTGAGGAGGTAAAGGGCACTGGAAGTTGGAAGGGGAGTGACTGGGAATGGCCCACCTTAGAGAACAGGGGAAGAGCCCTTTGCTCTCAGTCACCCTAGTCTGTCCCATGGGTTAAAATCCTGGAAAGGGACAGAGAAGGGGATGGATGATATCCCCAGAGGCCTCCCCCACTACAGTTTCTCTCACCAAAGACACTGAGTTGCCAAGAGACTGTGTCTTGTTCCTGGTGGGGCCAACATGAAAGAGAAGCATTCTTCCCACTCTCTGGAGGGAGGACAGAGGATGGAGGGCAGGATTCATCAGAGCCCGAAGTTCCAGGATTTTGATCTCGACATCGCTAGTGCATCCAGGTGACCAGCACAGGCACAGTTCCTCTTCCATCTTTACCCTTTGAGGGGCTTGGCTGGCCTTTCCTATGGCACTGATGCCACCCAGTCCTCTCCCTTGGCTGCCGCTAGTGACCCATCCCTTCTAGGTAACTGCCCCATGGATATGCACAGCCTTGGGACCATGGGGCAGGCCCATGTAGAGGCCATAGCCAGTGTGCCTGTGGCCAGGCCCTGTCCTTACCTCCCTCCCAGGACCACGAGGGGGGCCCCAGTCATCCGAACAAGGTACTTGAGTCTGTTGACATTGGTGGCAGGGTGGGGAACAGGACATCTTGTATTTCTTCTGCATCAGAGGTTACCTCACTGACTCATAACATCTGGGACATCATAGGCATGGGACAGTGGCACCCTGACCTGGGGCTTTCTCTTTGTACATGGGTGGCTCTGAGGCCCCGCGTGTGTATGTGTCTGTGTGTGTCTGTGTGTGTGTGTGTGTGTGGTGCATGCATCGCTTTGTGTGTGTTTTGATAGCCTGGGTATGTGTCTCGCTGTGAGTGGGCACCTGTGTCTCTGTTTCTGTGACTGTGGTGTTTTGAGGGTGAGTGTGAATGCCATCAGCACCTCTTGTGCTCTGTGACTGACTGGTGCTTGTGAGTATGTGAGCGAGGCAGGGGTCTTGGGGGAGGGGAACACATTTGTGTATGAGTGGGGGCGGTCTATGTGTGAATGTCTCAGTCTCTGAGTTTCTGTTTGTTTCCAGGGCTGTCTCTGACCGGGGAGCCCCTCCCTCAGTAGGGGTGCGTGTGTGTCGCTCTGGGTGTGTCTGTGGAGATGTCCTTATTGGAGGATGTGTCTGAGAGTCTGTGCTCGGCTGTGTGTGAGCCTGCGTGTTGTGGGAGCTGTGGGTGGCCCATGTGTGTGCCGCCCATGCCTGGTGTCGTGGTGGTGGCTGGGGACTCGAGGCCTGCTCTGCGGAGCCGTCCATCACCGCTAGGTCTGCAGATGTGACTCTCCTCATAAACCTTCTGGTGCCCTCTGCCTGCCTCCACGTGTCCACTCCCTCTGCTACCCCACCTCTTCCCCAGGCCACAGGCAGCTGCCACTGGAACGTGTTTCTCAGCTCCGGCTCCTACCCTCAGCACCTGTGGGCGTCCCTCACACCACTAGGGGTGGCCTCAGTCCATAGATGATTCCAGGAATTGGCTGGGACACAGACTTTGCTGTCCCCTTCTCCTGCCTGGCATGTGACTGGTTTTTATTTGTTTTCTAGAGCAAATGGTGGGGGAAGGATGAGGATGGTGGCTTAGGAGGGGGTGGTCCTGGCAAATGACCCTCTTGGTCCCAGCCCCAGTCCAGTGTCACCCCCACCACCCCAAAGGTCTGCCTTAGGTAAAGCCTCTAGCTGGAGTGCCCCTCTACTCAGCCCCTTCCCAATTCTCCCTGCCAGGAAGGCCTTCAGGTGGCCCGGGACACCCTGGCATGGTGTTCTTCCCCATGGGCACCCTTGATGTCCCTCTCCTCTGCCAGTGACTCTGAGGCCTGGGGATCTTGTCTGCTCGTGCCAGGCACCCCGGGGCCAGGCCATCTGCTGCCTCTCTCTCCCCGCTGAGGCTGGCACCGGTCAGCAGGGTGCCTCGGCTTTGCCAAGAACCAACTCAGCCCCAGAGCTGCTCCCTCCTTGTCCTAAGCCATCTGGAAGGGCCTTCTGGTCTCTAGGGAAGGCATGGCGACCCTGGGTCACTGCAAATGAGGGAGACTCTTCAGCTCCCCATTCTAGGGATGCTAGGAGGGATGCAAGGAGCCCTCCTCAATCTGCCAGCCAGCCACAGTCCCCAGTCTCCCCAGCCTCCTTCACTGCCCCCAGCTCCCCAGCCATTGATTGCACAGTGAGTGAGGTTCCTGGCATCGGGCCCCTCTGCTCTGTAATCTACATCCATCATGCTGCATAGGCCTCTGTCTCTTGGCCTTGCCCCCCAGCCTTCCTCCTCTGACCCCTGCCCCATCCACCCTGCCCCACTGCATCCACCCCTTCCCCAGGGCCTAGTTCTGATCCCACTCTGCTCCATTCAGACACTTGTCCATGAACTTAAGTCTAAATACTTTCTCTCAACACTTACTGCCACTCATCATCTGGCCTCAGCCTCCCGCTCCCCCACCCTTTGCAGCCTAATCTGCTACTTTCCTGGCCGCACCCCAGCCAACGTGGACTAGCACCTGTCCTCAACCTTCTCTCCACTGTCTGCCCCTGGGCACTTGCCCACGTCATCCCCGCTGCCCAGCAGGCCTCTCCTCCCAGTCTCCGGCTCCTCATTTTTCCAGACCCACCTCAAATGCCACCTCTTCCAAGCACTGTTCCCTGGCCTGCCGTTTCTCTGACCCCACAGCTCAGCTTTGTCTCTGTCTCTCTTTTGACTGCCTCATGGGTTCGCTCTGTCACTGTCCTCCGTGCCTTTTCCCAGCGGTCCCTCTGCGAGGAGTCACGGTAGCACCTGCTGGGGGCCGTCCTGGGTGTTCCGGGTCTAAGTAGAGAATGGAAACAGGAGAGAATGGATGTGCCAGGCATGACTTCCTTCCTGCTCCTGGGAGGGTGGAGGGCCCATGTCCCAGGGCTGAGTCCCCTCTTTTCCCCTCCCGGCCCCCTCATAACCATCTCTTCTCTTATTTCCATCAGCAGCCAAACTACTGGAGTTTCAAGGTCAGTGTGTGATGCCTCTGCTTCCATGACATCTGCATGTGCTGTCCCTCCCCTGCCCCTGCCCCTCCCTTGCACAGGCTTTGCACCGGGTGTGCGTCTGCACGGGCACCTTCTGGTGTGGGCGGTGGGCCTTGGGCTGCAGGCTGTGGCTGCTGCTTTGGGAGAGTCCGGTTCTTCCGTCAGGGGCTTGTGGATGGAGTGGGAGTTTGGGCCACCCCTGCTGGGGATCTGGGCTAGAGATGCTCAGTTCCCAGGGCATCCCCACCCTGTGAGGGGCATTTTGGAATGACATTTCCTCCAGCCTGGAGAGATTGCTGGCTCTGAGTTAGGGACCTAGACCCTTGTTGTGGGCTCAGTTCTTTGAATTCAGATCTGACCTCCCAGGGAGGCCATGTGACTGTGATGGGCCCCTCTTCCTTCCCTTACTCTCCACCATGGGGGCTGCTCAGTGCTAGGCAGGAAACTCACGGCCCTACACCCTCAAGCCTGCTGTCTAAGTGGAGGGCTAAGCTCAGGGATAGGTGCCTTCCTGCCTCCTCCTGGGCTCTGGCCTTTCCAGAGCTGAGAGAGCTGTCTGCCTCTCCAAGAGTATCCTGCTGACCCCCGGGGAGCACCCTCAGGCACCTCTTCCATCTTCCCTGGCACCCAGGCCCAGAGCTGAGCAAACCAAGTGAGACTGCTGCTTGTCTCCTGGAGTCTCTGGCCTCCCAAGTCCCAGCATCTTGACAGCGGGTGGGAGGCATCCCTCCCAGACTCCCCAGGTGTCTTATTCGCATGCATTCTTCCTAGCACTGCAAGAAGTCCTTAAATCAGAGAGTCATGGAGTCAGAGGAGTCCTGGTGTTGAGCATAGTCTCTGGAGGAGGCAGTCGAGGGTTGTGGTTCAGTGCATGGGCCCAAGAACCAGGCTGCATCGTGGTGAATTCCATCCAGTCTGCTGCTAACTAGCTTGGTGACCTGGGGCGTGTTACATATCCTCTCAGCCTCAGTTTCTCCTCTGTAGAGTGACAATGTCTGCATCAGAGAATTGTTGTAGATAGGGGAAAAAGCCCAGATGTGCTGGCTCCCACCTGTAATCCCAGCGCTTTCAGAGGCCCAGGTGCATGGAACATTTGAGCCCAGGAGGTTGAGACCAGCCTAGGCAATGTAGTGAGCACTCGTATCTACAAAAAAGCTTTTTAAAAATCAGCCTAATGTGGTGCACACCTGTAGTCCCAGCTACTCTGGAGGCTGAGGTGGGAAGATCACTTGAGCCTGGGAGATTAAGGATGCAGTGAGCTATGATCACACCACTGCATTCCAGCCTGCGTGAAAAAAAAAAAAAAAAAGGAAGGGAGGGAGAGGAAAACAAACAAACAACAAAAAAAGGTGGGATGCATGTTCCAGGCAGCGCCTGGCTCCTGGTGAGCCCAACGTGGTAGCTTACCTCATTAGCTACTGAATCATGGACTCTTGATTCTTAAACCTAGAAATCAGAATCGCCTTAGGAACTTGTCGAAAATCTCAAACCCAAGCTCCAACTCCCAGAGATTCTGGTTTAGTGAATGTGGGGTCCTGGAAAACATGTTTTTAAAAGCTCCCAAGTGATTCTTCCGTAGTCTATGTCCAACCTCTGGAATTTCAGATCCACGAGCTGCTCCCTAGAACATTCTGGTGACAGGCGCTCTCTACCTCCCATGTAGCCCCTGTCCTATCTTTGGAGAGCTCTGCTTGAATCACTGTTTTGTTCTTCTGTCATCTCCCTTATGGTGGGGAAGTCCTTCTGGTGTCTCACTCTCCTCTGCCCTGCTGTCTCAGCCCAAGTATGGAGAGAAGCACCAGCAGGTTTTCCCTCTTCTCGAGAGGGTTTTCTGTACGGGCTGAGAATGCAGAGGTGCCCATGGGGCTAGGAAGTGATGGAGCAGAGAACCTGGGCATCTCTTCTCCCAGGGTTTCTGCCTTCTTGGCAGGTAACAACCCCCAGGATCCCTGCCCCGCCTCCCTTCATTCAGACCCCTGTTCCTTCTCCTTACGGGCACCTCACTCGTGTCCCCCCTGGCACTATGGCCACCCTTTACTCTTCATCACTGCTGGCTGCCTCATGCTGCCTGAATTCTGTAGCCCCTCATCCGTACCAGCCTGGCAACCACTGACCTTTTAGTTGCCAGGCAACCCCATGACCACCAGACCAGACCTGGCTCCCCACACTGCCACAGAGCTCCCAACCTTCATCTGGGATGAAGGTGAGACAGAGGGGGGAGGGCTGGCACTGGTGGCCAGCCTAGAGCTGAGCCATATCCTCTCTGTCACAAGCACAAGTGGCCCCTCTCCCCACCCCCACCCCATTTCTATGCTGCTTTCCTCCTGCCAAGACCCACACTCACCCAGTGGTCAAGGCATTGTGCTTGAGAGGGGAAGCTCCCTGATGTCCCCACATCTGATCTATTATGGCCCCCAAACTCTCAAGGCCACCTAGGGGACAGCTGGGCATACTGCCCATCAGAGGAAGACGCTCTCCCTTTAAGAGTGCTAATCCAATTGGAACATTAAATTGAGTTAATACGAAGATGGAGATTAATTAGAGGTAAATCAGGATTTGGGGAGAGAGGGAGCTAAAGAAGAGAATAAATGATTCCTTTTAAGAGAACTTTTATTTTTTTTTTTTAAATTATAAAGTGAATCTATTCATACAGTTTTGTACAGAAATCTATAAAGTAAAAAAAGAAAACTGTTAACCCTGAGATGACCAGGCTTAATGGCTTTGAGTGATTTGTTTTTAAAAATAGATAATTTGTTTTACCAAAAAAAATACAATTGGGCAACATGATTATTTCTCGACGGTATATGTATATGTGACACATATAATGCACATAACATGGAATGACATAGATCAGATTCATTATCCCACTCTCTGGAACAGTTCCTGTACAGCAACAAGATTTCTTGCCCAGGGTCTAGGACAGAATGGCAGGGGTTGTGGCCTCGAGTGACAGCCCCAGGTTTCAGCAGAAAGTAGGCTCTTAAAGTGCAATTGAAATCATCCTGACTCTCCCTCCCCCACGGAGAGAGCAATCAGGCTGTCCTGTGACATCCTTCCCTACCCCCAGCCAGATATCAGCCTCAGCTACAGCTTCAGAGAAGTGGCTGTCGTGGCTCAGAGGGTCCTGGGGGAGGCTGGCTGGCTGTGTGGCAGCATGTGCCGTGCAGGGAGGGGCTGAGGCCTGGCACATGTGTCGTGTGCGCATGTGTATCACATCATACTTAACATGTGCATTGTGGGCACTGGGAAGGTCATCTGAAATCGGGGTCCAGCTGGTTTCAAGGCATTTGGGATAGTTTTCCCAGTCACCCTAAATCAAGGACATTCCCTGTGTCCAGCTCGGTGAGGGTCCACATTCCCCCAAAGCTGGGATCCTGGGGTCCCAGCTCTCTTTGCTTTCTCCCTGGGCCCTGCTTCCTACCCCCACCCCCACCCTCTGAACTCCATGAAGAATAAATTCACTGCTCACAAACCCGCCACTTAATTAATGTCTGGAACTAATGCCCCAATTTGCTCAACGATTCTGCTGCTCACCTCGGTGACAAATTTGTGTCATTGTTGTTCTTCCGAAGCTTGAAATAGCAGGCGCACCCGTAGCCCCCACTCACATGGCCTCTTCTTTGGTTTCCCAGGGTCCCTGGGTCCTCTGCCCACTCCTTACCTTCGGGGTGTCCCAGGGAGGCCAAGGCTGGGAGAGGCTGGGGAACTCTTGTGGCCATGCCAGGCGTCTGTAATCTGTGTGGGTGTCGCTGGCTGGCAGGACCTCCCCAGGCCTGGATATAGGCAGTGACGAGCAAAGGGGGTTGCTTATCCTTGGTCCCTTCTCACCCTGCCCGGCCCCTGCAGACCCGCAGCTCACGCCACACTCAGGGAGCCCAGCCTGGGCTGGCAGACCAGGCGGCAAAGTTGTCATACGCCTCAGCCGAGTCGCTGGAGACCATGTCGGAGGCCGAGCTGCCCCTGGGCTTCAGCAGGATGAACCGCTTCCGACAGAGCCTGCCTCTCTCCCGCTCAGCCAGCCAGACCAAGCTGCGCTCCCCAGGTACTGCCCGCCCTGTCCACCCTCCCTCCCCACACAGGCTCCTCCCTCTGCTCTTTACTCCCTGGAGCCCCCTCCTCCCCTGCAGCGCTCCAGCTGGCCTCAAGCTCTGCTCTTTCCCACAGCCCCTTCTCCCTCAGCAACCCCAGCTCTCTCCATCTCTCTCGCCCTCAGCATTCCCAGACGACCCCTTTCCCTCCAAGCCTCCTCTCTCCCTTCTGCTTCCTCTTCTGTCCCTTTCCTTCATCCCTCCCTTCTCCCCTATCTCCCTTCTCTAACTCTCTCCAACGTCTCTCTCAGCTCACTTCCTCTCAGTTTCCGCCCCACCTGCTCCTGCCCCCACTTCCATTTCCTTGTCCAAATTCCTCCAACTGCCTGGAGTCCAGTGGGTGCTTTAAGAGGCTGGAGACGGCCTGGCGCCCTGGCCAGTAGCATGAGGGGTGCCTGGGTGCACCTGCACTCGGGGGCGGAGTCTGGCCTCAGACCCTGCCTCTGCGGGGCTGGCGCAGCTCCCGAAAGCTCCCGGCGGTCTCCCGGAGGGCGGAGTGGAGACGGCGGCGGCCTTGACAGCGAGGGCGGCGTCTCCTTCGCAGGGGTGCTATTCCTGCAGTTCGGGGAGGAGACTCGGCGCGTGCACATCACGCACGAGGTCAGCAGCCTGGACACGCTGCACGCACTCATCGCGCACATGTTCCCGCAGAAGCTCACCATGGGCATGCTTAAGTCGCCCAATACTGCCATCCTCATCAAAGACGAGGCTCGCAACGTCTTCTACGAGCTGGAGGACGTCCGGTGGGCTTGGCCCCGGGGGGATGCGGGTGGGCTTCCCCACGCTCCTCCTCTGCGGGGTACTGGACCCTGTTGGCCCTTCCTCAGCCCCTTCCTGATCCGACCTCAGCCTTTCCCCTCCCTTCCTAGAGTCCTACCGCCCCGCCCCCTTCTTCGGACATCTTAGCCCCACCCCCTCTCTAAATCATCCACTCCCGCTGGTTCTCTTTGCTTTGAGCTAACCTGAAAATGGCACCTGAGGTCAGGAAGAGGCCATGGTGGAGGCTGCTGGGCCTGTATGCTGGTGGCTGGCAGCCTGAGTGAAGGATTTAGGAAGGAGTTGGGGCTCCCGGTTCCTCTAGCTACCCCTCTTCTCTCTGCCTGGGGTAGCCGCCCCTCCTCATTGTGCACGGCTGGGGGATGGGTGGTGACCCCTCTGTCCCCCACCCTCAGGGACATCCAGGACCGCAGTATTATCAAGATCTACAGGAAGGAGCCCCTCTATGCTGCTTTCCCTGGTTCACACCTCACCAACGGGGACCTCCGGGTATGGCTAGGCATCCCCAAAGCATTGGGGAGGCTGGGCACATGGGGTCCAGAGGAGCAGGGTCCGGGTAGTTGTCGTCGGGGGCCAAGGCCAGCTTGGGAGAAGGGAGCATAGGGCTGAGGGGTTAGGGAAGAGCCCCTCTCCCACCTGCTACTTCCCTTCTATTCCTGGCCTGTCCAGTCGGGATTCCACTAACTTGCCCCCAGATAGTCTGAGGGCTCTCTCAGGAGCCATCCCTTTCCCTTCTACTTCCTACTCCTCACAGTAGCTGAGCTGAGGGTTTACCCCGCTGGTGCCTCTCCATCAGCCACCTTTTCCTCCATGCTGGGAACCCTGATGGAAAAGGGGCCCTACCGCAGCCGGATAGAGGGAGGGCAGAGAGCAGAAGGGACTTCCTAAGCGTCAGGGAGGACATGCTGGCTTCTCAAGCAAGGGGCAGAGGTGTCCTTGGTGACCAGCCGTGGGGGTCTGGGCTGTCTTCTGCGCAGAGAGAGATGGTGTACGCGTCGCGGGAGTCGTCGCCCACGCGGCGCCTCAACAACCTGTCGCCAGCGCCGCACCTGGCATCCGGCTCGCCGCCGCCCGGGCTGCCGTCGGGGCTGCCGTCCGGGCTGCAGTCGGGCTCGCCGTCGCGCTCGCGCCTCTCGTACGCCGGGGGGCGCCCGCCCTCGTACGCCGGCAGCCCGGTGCACCACGCGGCGGAGCGGCTGGGAGGTGCCCCCGCCGCCCAGGGCGTCAGCCCCAGCCCCAGCGCCATCCTGGAACGGCGCGACGTGAAGCCGGACGAGGACCTGGCGGGCAAGGCGGGCAGTATGGTGCTGGTGAAGGGCGAGGGCCTCTACGCCGACCCCTACGGGCTGCTGCACGAGGGCCGTCTGAGCCTGGCCGCGGCAGCTGGCGACCCGTTCGCCTACCCGGGCGCCGGCGGCCTGTACAAGCGCGGCTCGGTGCGCTCGCTCAGCACCTACTCGGCCGCCGCGCTGCAGTCGGACCTGGAGGACTCCCTGTACAAGGCGGCGGGCGGCGGCGGCCCGCTCTACGGCGACGGCTACGGCTTCCGCCTGCCGCCCTCGTCGCCGCAAAAGCTGGCAGACGTGGCGGCGCCCCCCGGAGGACCCCCGCCACCGCACAGCCCCTACTCGGGGCCGCCCAGCCGCGGCTCGCCGGTGCGCCAGTCCTTCCGCAAAGACTCGGGCTCGTCCGTCTTCGCGGAAAGTCCTGGAGGGAAGACCCGCAGCACCGGGAGCGCCTCGACAGCCGGCGCTCCCCCTTCAGAGCTCTTCCCTGGGCCTGGGGAGCGCCCGCTGGTTGCGTTTGGGCCGCCAGTGCCAGCCAAGGACACGGAGACCAGGTGAGGGACATTCACCAGGCCTCAGGGATGGGGTGGGGGGATGGGGGGGGCGCTGCAGAAAGGGGGCACGGCAGAGTCCGTGGCAGGTGTGTGGCCTGGACTGAGATTCCGTAGTCCTTTGGAGACATTGAGTAGTCTTGAAGGATCGCAGAGAGCATCTTGGATGTGGCAGGGCGGGCATTGGAGAGACCAGCTTGCCGTTTTCCTCCCATCCGCAAGACTCAAGGGGGTAGTTGAGAGGTCCCCAGATGAGGACTCTGGATACCTAGGTTTGCATCCATTTTCTAAGCCTCGGTTTCCCCAACTGTAAAATTGAGGGGCTGAACCACTTTCAGTGCCTTTCCAGGTTAGAGTTTGCAGCAGTGAGAGCTGTCCAGCACCAGGCCAGCTGAAGTCCACTGGGGAGGAGGGTGCTGTTTAGAAATAGTGACGGGAAAGGAGCACATTTGGGTACCTAGCCTCCAGGCTGAGGAGCCCCTGCCCATCACCCAGTCCCTTCCTAAGGGTGCAGGGCTGGAGGAGGTACCCAGGGCAGTAGATAACCTGCACCCTCAGGCAGCGCTGCTGAGCCGTGAGAAGAAGCCATTGGCCTTCACACAAACCCAGTCCCTCTCCTGGTCTAGTGGAGAGACACTCAAAATACTTTCCACTTCCCTTGGGTGGCATGGAAGGAGGGGTTCCTTGGGGCTTCTGGGTTCTTTGGAATGGTTTCAGGAGGCTCCCTCCTGAGCCCCAACAGTCTTCCCCCACCCTGCCTGGCAGATGGTCCCACCTGTCAGGAGGAGGTCAGGAGAAAAGCAGAGCAGGCAGGGGAAAGCACTGCCAGGCATGAGAGACCAGCGTGCAGCCTTAAGGGAGGGTGTGAAAGGTGAGGTGGGAGGCTGTGGGCTTGATCCTTAGGCATTGGGACCCTTTGAGTTGTCTGTGTGTGGGCAGCCAGGAATGGGATATGTTTCCTCTGGTCACCAATCTTAGGGATGGGGGGCTGGGCAGGAGAGACCCTATGCAAGGCGAGGTTACTCAGACCCCCTTCCTCCCCAGGGAGCGCATGGAGGCCATGGAGAAGCAGATTGCCAGCCTCACAGGCCTGGTGCAGAGCGCCTTACTCCGAGGCTCTGAGCCTGAGACCCCCAGGTGAGGCCCCTCTCCCAACACCACTGCCAGGGCCTGGGGGTGGAGCAGGAGGAAGGGGAAATGGGCGTCGGCTCTGCCAGTGTCTCACTGGGTGACCCTGGGTGAGTCCCTTCCCTTCTCTGGGACTCCATCTTGAGATCAGAGAGCTGGAGGAGATGACATCCAAGGTCCCACCCAGCTCTGAAGGTCTGGGGCTGGCCTGGACCCCCTGATGCCTATCTTTTTCCCCTGTGCCACAGTGAGAAGATTGAAGGCTCCAATGGAGCAGCCACCCCCCCAGCACGTGAGTGACCCTTCCCCTCCCCCATCCTTGTTCCCTAGGGAGTCTGTTTTCCAATCTATAAAGTGGGGATTAAGCAATAGCTACATCACTGGGCTTTCAATGAATACATGAGTGGTCACCTTAGCCCAAGAGGTCTTTGCCCGGGCACTTTGGTCCCCACCCTTAGGGCCTTGGGGCAGGTAGTCAGAGCTATGGACTTCTCTGGCTACTCTGTGGGGTCGGAGAGTAGGGAGGACCTTGCTCCAGTCCTTCCCAGGCTTACAATTTGTTCATTTTCTCCCATCCTCGTGGTTCTCTGCAGCTTGCGGGTCAGGCGGCCGGAGCAGCGGGGCCACCCCGGTGTCCGGCCCGCCCCCGCCCTCGGCCGGCAGCACCCCCGCAGGGCAGCCTACCGCTGTTAGCCGGCTGCAGATGCAGCTGCACCTGAGAGGCCTGCAGAACAGCGCCAGTGACCTGCGCGGCCAGCTCCAGCAGTTGCGCAAGCTCCAGGTACCGCCCAGTCCCGGGCCCCGCCCCACCAACGCCCACCTACTGGTCGAAGTTCCTTCCCACAAATCCCGCCCCATCCCCTACTCCCTTATCCTTTCCCCAGACCTCCCACGCCCGAGTCCTTCGCCGCTCACTAGTCTCTCTCCGAACCCTTTCTCCCCTTCCCCTTTCTTGAGCTTCCGCCCCCTCGCTGAACCTCCGCTCCCCTCACCAAGCCCCTACCCCTCGCCCGTGTCCCCCTCATTGAGCCCTCCTTCTCCTTCCCTGAGTCCCCATAGCCCTCCTGGAGCCCCAGTCACCCACTGAGCCCCCTCCCTCGTCAGTATCCCTCCGGGCAGTTCCAGTTCCTTCCTGCCCTGCATCCCTTTCATGCTGCGAGAACCCTTCCCCCAAGTCCCCTCAGCTCCTCCCTCCTGAGCCCCGACAGCCTCCCTAGCCCTGCCGGGCAGATGGTCCCACCTGTCAGGAGCTTGGCATTGCCGTGTCCGCTCCTCAAGCGGGCCCAGGGCCTGTCAGGTGAGGATAATGAGCAAAGACAGGCTGGGGAGGGGGCAGAGAATTGCCATCTGGGCAACGGGTAAGATCTCGCCCACCCCGCCATTCAGGCTTGCGACCCGGTTGGATCAATCGTTAACTTAGTCTTCCTGTCCCAGCCACGGAAACTCTATCAAACGCCAACGCTTGAGTCCTTCATTCCAGTCCCGTCCCCATTCAGGGATGATGGAAGCCACAGCCATGGGGCCCACACTGTCGGCAGTGCCCTACATAGGGCCACACCCTGTCCTGCAAATATCCCTACCCCCTTCTCCTGCCTCATATTCCCCAGAACTTAACCTTGTCCGCCCCCCGCTGCAATACCACCCCCTCACTGCTGCTCGAGGCCACAGCCATGCAGCTGCCCCTTTGCATGGCCCATTTTAACGCTCCCCGCTCCACGATCTCCATCCGTTCTCCTCCTGCCTCTGTTCTTCCCCAGAACTTAGCCCTCTGCCCCTGCCCTTCGCCATCCCACCCCTTCGCTGCTGCCCGAGGCGGAGCCAAGCAGCCGCATCTTCTGCAGAGCCCCGCCCTGCAGCATTGGGCAGTCCTCTACCCGCCTTCTCCCGGCCCTTCCCCTGCCGCGCGCCTCCGCTCCCCCCACCCGGGTCCATCCGTCCGTGCGTCCCGCAGCTACAGAACCAGGAGTCGGTGCGCGCGCTGCTGAAGCGCACGGAGACAGAGCTGAGCATGCGCGTGTCGGAGGCTGCGCGGCGGCAGGAGGACCCGCTGCAGCGCCAGCGCACCCTGGTGGAGGAGGAGAGGCTGCGCTATCTCAACGACGAGGAGCTCATTACCCAGCAGCTAAAGTGAGGCAGGGCTGGCGGCAGAGGGAGGGGTGGGGGTGCGGCCGGAGTGACCCGCAACCTGGTTTCCCTGGGAGGCGCAGCTCCCTTCCTTCTGAGTCACAGGTGACGTTGGTCTGTTCTGAAGTCTGATTTCATTCTCCTCTGGCCTGATTTATCTGTGACCCACAGACCTTTGACCGTCTGGCATTATTCCTGATTCCTTTTTTCTGGCTCGATGCCTGCTTTTGCTATGGTCTTGCTTTACGGCCTACAGCTTCCCTGTCATGTGGCCAGCTGCCTGATTTTCCTCTGCCCTCTGCCTACTTTCATTCTGGCCTGTAACTGTGCACAGTGACCCTCGGGTAGTGTGTTCAGGTGGAGAGTTCATGTGCCGCCACTGCTCCAGCCTGGCGCTGACCGGCCACCATTGGCGATCCGATTCCCTGATCTCGGAGTCCAGTTATAGCCAAGGAAAACCCAGCGTCCTTCCTAATGCGGCTGGAACAGGGCTGTAGTGTTTTCAGAAAGAAGGAGGTATTGCGAACACTCTGCCTCCGCATGCTTAGACATGGAGGGGTTAACAGAAGGCAGTCTTCTGATCCAAATTTAGCAAATGGCTGTCTGGCCAACGATTTCATTGTCTGGCACCTTTGAAGGGAGATGCTGCCTTTCAGTGTCCATTCAGGGAGTGAGCACTCCCACCCTGCTTTCCCTCGCCAGTGATAGGGATCTGAGACCCAGGCCCCCTGCTCCTTCCTGTGGGTCCCCTCTTGGTGACACAGGGCACTAGGGGATCTGGAGTCCAGTGCCAGTGAGGGATGGAATGATCAGGGCAGTTCCTGCCCCTCTCTGTGCCCCAGCGTCCTCATCTGTACTCAGCATTAAGCTTTTTGCCTCTTTTCAACAAGGGGTTGAGCTGTACTGGCCAGCGACTCCAGGAGCCAGGAGAGGCTGCCCTTGGAACCCAGCCTCCTCACCAAGTCATAAATGAGCCTGTTGCAAGGGGCTCCTTGAGATGGGTCACTCCTCCTCAGGCTGGGGCCCATGTAGCCTAATGGTACATGTGCATTTCAGCAAGGCCCAGGGCAGTGATTCCCATGACACCATGTGGCTGAAATAGGGTAAGGGGCCACCCCATGGGGACATAAGCCAAGGGCAGCCACTCCATCATTCTAGGTGTGACAACTTAGTGATGACTCCAGCCAGATCTCCAGGCAGACTGGCAGGTGCCATCTCTCCTCATCCGGGGAATTCTATTTCCCCAGAGCTTCTATCCGTTCCTTGTCCCTTTTCATTCAGCCCAGAGGAAGGGGGTTGGAATTTTCTTTTCTTTTTTTTTTTTTTTTTGAGACGGAGTTTCACTCATGTTACCCAGGCTGGAGTGCAATGGCGCGATCTCGGCTCACCGCAACCTCCGCCTCCTGGGTTCAGGCAATTCTCCTGCCTCAGCCTCCTGAGTAGCTGGGATTACAGGCACGCACCACCATGCCCAGCTAATTTTTTGTATTTTTTTTAGTAGAGACGGGATTTCACCATGTTGACCAGGATGGTCTCGATCTCTTGACCTCGTGATCCACCTGCCTCGGCCTCCCAAAGTGCTGGGATTACAGGCTTGAGCCACCGCGCCCGGCCTGGGTTGGAATTTTCAAAAGGAACTTCACCAAGACATTAAAGGGAAATTAAAGGAGATCTAAAAGCACAGAGGCAGGAGATATGAAAGGACAGATTTATGCTATCATCATTATAAATGTTTGGTCCTTGTCTCCCTGAGGGCCTTGGTTCTCCAGGAACAGACTCTCCACCCCCTGCCCCATCATCAAACCCATTACTCAGACTGTTTACTTGAGAGAGCTTGGGACCTGCAGTACTGTTTCTGACAGGATTCTCCATCCTCCTGAAAGGGGGCTCCTGCCTCTCCTGGGCTCCAACCTGGCCATGAAGGCCCTCCCTGCCCAGCTCCCTTAGCCTCCCCAGGCTTTAACCCTGCAGCCCCCCTGCCCCACACTCTGGCCGTAGCCCCTGTATACTTACTTTTGCTCCAATTTGCTATGCCCTTCCTCTTTTCTGGCAACTTGCTGGAAGTTAAAACTGGTTCTGTTCATTCAGCTTGGCTCACTCACCTGTCCATCTAGCCCAGCACTTAAGGTCTGTGTGGACGTTGCCTTTAGGGGTAGGCTCTGCTGACTGAAACCTTTTAGGTCCTGGAATCTACCTTTGCCTAACCCAGGGCCAGCTTTGTAGGTATGCCACCTGTGCAGTCATGCAGGGCTCTGTGCTTGGAAGGGCCCATGCTTGGTGTAATGCTCTGCTGTTGCCATCTTGAAATTCTTAATCGTTTTTAAACTAGAGGTAACATTTTCATTTTGCATGGTGTCCCATAAATTATTTAGCTCGTTCCATCTTGACTCTTCCCCTCTTGACCCCTCCAAGACTAAACCTGGGTTTGGAAAGCCCAGCTGCTTTTTAATCCAGTGTCTAGACTAGCTGGTCTGGAACTCATTTGCAGAGCTTGCCCAGGTTAGTGGCCCCAAAACTTTGGCAGATTGGATGATCAGAAGATCAAGTGCCGATGGAGCTTAAGGGAAGCCTAGTTCCTCCTACCTGGGAGTTGCAGTGTTGTCACCTCCTGAAGGCTTATTTGAATCCTTTAAATGAAAGTCTCTTTCCCCTGTGAGTGATGTTTGGGAGTGACCATTTTATAAAACTGGCACAGCCTGGACCAGTCAGATGTCACATATATGAGCAGGGGACTTGTTCTTACCCATTTGGTAGCGCAAGGGCTGGGCTAGGACAGTGTATGGATTGGGAGCAGTGTGGGTGATAGTCTAGTGTGGAAATGAGATGTGGCAGAGCCGATGGCTGAAGTCAGATGTGAGTAGATCCTCCTTTGCCACAAAATAGCTGTGTGACCTTTGACTAACTAGTGAAAGTCTTTGAATATCTTTTTTTCCTTTTTTTTTTTTTAATGCCAAAGCTTTAGTTAGGATAGCTAATTAATTAGGGTACCTTGCTCTAACAAATAAGCTCTAAAATTGTTTAATAATTCAAAAGTGGGCCAGACGTGGTGGCTCTCACCTGTAATACAAGCACTTTGGAGGCCAAGGCGGGCGGATCACCTGAGGTCGGGAGTTCAAGACCAGCCTGACCAACATGGTGAAACCCTGTCTTAAAAAATAATAATAATAATTTCAAAAGTAATAAATATATCTTTCTCATGGAACAGTATTGGGTGGGTTCGCAGGGTGGCTCTTCCCCATGCAGTCATTCAGGGACCCGGGCTGATGGAGGTTCTGCCATCTTCAACATGTGTTTTCCAAGATCACCCAGAAAGTTTCCAACCAACAAAAAAGGCGAAAGGAGTGTGGAGGAGCTTACATGGAGGTTTTTGTGGGCCAGGTTTGGAAGCAGCATGTGCCCCTCCCACTCACCTTCCACTGGGTAGACTTCAGTTAAATGGCCCCTTTTCACCGCAAGGGAGGCTGGGATATGTAGTCTAGGATCTGAGCCACTGTTTGTCCGTGTGTAAGCTGAAGATAATAACTGTTCCCACCTCCAGGATTAATTAAAGTAATGAAAGCCAAGGGCTGACTGTGGCACCTGGCATACAGTAAGTGCATAAATACAGGATAGCTCTTTAACTGGTAGTGCTGCTGAGTCACAAGTTTTGCCCTTGACTCCAACCTAGTCTGTCTTTGCACCTGCTAGTTGGATGAAGATGTGTAAGGCATGCTGATAAGATTTGCTGATGACACAGAGCTTTAAGGGGGAGCAAATCTGTTGGATGGTAGAACTGAAATTCAAAAGTTGTTGGCACCTGGACTGAGCTGGAATCCAACAGATGGGATTTGACAGAAATGTACATAAAGTCCCAAATGTGGGTCAGGGATGTCAGCGACTCAAGTACCGAACTGAGATGACCTACCTGGGCAGCAGTTCCTTCTCTCCCTTGTTCATTCATTCCACAATTATTTCCCAGACATCTACTTTACACCAGGCACCATGCCAGGTGCTAGAAACGAACTGTATCTAGAAGACATGGTCCTTGCCAGCCTGGGGTTAGTAGTCCAGAAGGTTGCACAACCCAGCCAACAGGAGCTTCAGAGGTTCAGAGGGCAGGAAGCAGACCCAACAACTGCAAGGGGAGGGATTGGAGGAGAGCTTCCCACTGAGACCTGAGGACCACCGGGAGTTAGCACATGTGTGTGTGCATGTATGTGTATGGGCAAATGGAATATTCTAGGCAGAGAAAATAAAGAGCCAGAGAGGGCAGCACATGTAGGACCTCAGAGCTCAGAGCAGTTCTTTTTTTTTTTTTTTTTGAGACGGAGTTTCACTCTTGTTGCCCAGGCTGGAGTGCAGTGGCCTCAGCCTCCCAGGTGCTGGGATTACAGGCATGAGCCCCTGTGCCCAGCTGGACCTCAGGGCAGTTCTGAAGGGCTCTAAGCAGAAGGCAGATGGGACGGGGGACAGCGGCACAGAAAGCTAGGACAGCTCCCAGGCACTGAGCCCTTGCTGCCTGCTTTCCCATCTGCATTCGCCCCCATGAAAGGGAAACTCTTTTTTTTTTTGAGATGGAGTCTCACTCTGTTGCCCAGGCCAGAGTGGAATGGCGTGTTCTCAGCTCACCCCAACCTCTGCCTCCCAGGTCCAAGCGATTCTCCTGCCTTAGCCTCCTGAGTAGCTGGGATTACAGGCGCATGCCACCATGGCTGGCTAATTTTTGTATATTTAGTAGAGACCGGGTTTCACCATGTTGGCCAGGCTGGTCTTGAATGCTTGACCTCAGGTGATCCACTCACCTCGGCCTCCCAAAGTGCTGGGGTTATAGGCATGAGCCACCACCTGGTGGGGAACTCTTGCCATCCCTATTTTTTGGACGAGGAGGTTGAGGTCCAGACATATTACTTACCTTGCTGAAGCTCTCTCCTCTGGGAAGGGCAGAGCTAGGATGGGAGCTGGATCATTCTGACTCTAGAGCCAAGTTTTCCTTCTTTCTTTCTTTTTTTTAAGACAGAGTCTTTCTCTGTTGCCCAGGCTGGAGTGCAGCGGCGTGATCTCTGCTCACTGCAACCTCTGCCTTCCAGGTTCAAGTAATTCTCTGCCTCAGCCTCCCGAGTAGCTGGGCTTACAGGTGCCTGCCACCATGCCCAGCTAATTTTTGTATTTTTAGTAGAGATGGTATTTTTACCATCATGGCCAGGCTGGTGTCGAACTCCCAACCTCAGGTGATCCACCCACCTCGGCTTCCCAAAGTGCTGGGATTATAGGCATGAGCCACTGTGCCCAGCCTAGAGCCAAGTTTTCAACTACCACCTTCCTGCTCTTGGTTGCATTGAAAAATTTGGATGTTAGCCTCAGGATGATAGGATCCATTTAGGGTTCAATGGCAGGAGTGATGACCTGGTCTGATTTATATTTTAGAGGAATATAGGGTCTTAAATGAAACAAGGTCAGCATATGCCAGCTGAAAAGCTAAAGCAGCTTTGGCCCTCGGAAAGAGGCCGTGTGGCTGGATCATTTGGGAGAAGGGCAATGGACGTGTCAGTTTCCCCTGAGACAAGAGACCTCCCCAGGGGCATGTGCTGCTGCCTCCAGTTCTCTGAAAAGCAATCAAGTTCTCTCTGCTTCCTTGGCAGAATAGAATCAGGGGATACAAGTTACAATGAGAGATACCTGGGCAGATATTGCTGAGGATCAAAGCTTCCAAGGGGGGCAAATGGAGCAGGGCACCTCTTAGGGAGCGCTTCTCAAGTCTCCTCATCCCTGAGATTTGGCATTGCAGGTTTTGCTTGAGTATGTGGCCTGGTGGCTGACTTTTATGTTTGTTTGTTTTTGAGACAAGTTCTCCCTCTGTCACTCATGCTAGAGTGGAGTGGCACAATCATGGCTCACTGCAGTCTCAACCTCCTGGGCTCAAGTGATCCCCCTGCCTTAGCCTTCCAAGTAGCTGAGACTACAGGTGCCTGCCACTACGCCCAGCTAATTGTTTTATTTTTTAATAGAGATGAGGTCTCCCGATGTTGCCCAGGCTGGTCTTGAACTCCTGGGTTCAAGTGATCCACCGGCCTCAGCCTCCCAAAGTGCTGGAATTACAGGCGTGACCACCATGCCTGGCCTCCTGCTTTTAATTTTGATCCACTGGTGGCCTGATTTCTTTCCAGCTGCCCAATTTCAGGGGGCTAGGCTGGCATCTCAGACCAAAAGGGCTGAGAGGGTCTCTCTGTGACTGCAGTGACCTGGAGAAATCGGTGGAGAAGATCCAGAGAGACGTGTCCCACAACCACCGGCTGGTGCCCGGCCCCGAGCTGGAGGAGAAGGCGCTGGTGCTGAAGCAGCTCGGGGAGACTCTGACGGAGCTCAAGGGTGGGTCTGGGGCCTGTGAACGCTGTGCGAGGTCCAGGGCGGGGGAGTCTGCTGTACTGCCACCACCATCCTCTCCTCCCAGTCAGCAGTGCTCCCTCTGGCCCCAGCTCACGCCTTCCTGTCTCCTTAGCTCATTTCCCAGGCCTGCAGAGCAAGATGAGGGTGGTGCTGCGTGTGGAGGTGGAGGCGGTGAAGTTCCTGAAGGAGGAGCCTCAGCGCCTGGACGGGCTCCTCAAGCGCTGCCGTGGGGTCACGGACACACTGGCCCAGATCCGAAGGTCATTCTGTCCCTGACCTCTAATTTCCCATGGGATCACACACCCGGCCCAGACCCATAGGTCAGACTGAACCCTTACCCCAACTCCCCCGAAGGTCACCGGCATGCCGATGGACCGGCACCTCAGCTCCACGCAGTGACCCCTGCATGCTGTAGACTCAGCTTCCTCTTATTTAGGGGCGGTCACTCCTCCCCAGGCCCTCCACCTCTCCTGCAGCATCCCAGAGCCTGCCTCCTACCCCATCTCCCTCAGGCCACCCTTCCCGAAGAAGGGCTGCCACCTGCTGGGCTCACAGCTGTTCCCAACTCTTCCAACCTCAGGCAAGTGGATGAAGGTGTGTGGCCACCCCCGAACAACCTCCTGAGTCAGTCCCCCAAGAAGGTGACGGCAGAGACTGACTTCAACAAGAGTGTGGACTTCGAAATGCCACCCCCCAGCCCCCCGCTGAACCTTCACGAGCTGAGCGGGCCAGCTGAAGGAGCCTCTCTTACCCCAAAAGGGAGCAACCCCACCAAAGGCCTGGACACTCCTGGCAAGAGAAGCATGGACAAGGCTGTGTCTGTTGAGGTGCTGGGGCCAGGGATTGTGGGTGGTGCCCTGAGCTAGGTTCACACATTCTTACCACCATCCTTCCTAGGGTGGGGAGTGCCAATCATGTGGGTCTTTTTCCTTGGGGGAGGAGGGCCAGTGCCCTCATGGAAGTCTAAGAAGCATAATAAGGGTAACATTAGTCCCGCTAGACAGAAAGCATATTATAAAGCTGCAATAATTAAAGCAGTATGATGTTTGCCCAAGAGTAGACTTTGTAGTCAAAGAAACAATAGAGTTCCCAGAAATAAGTCTTAAGTTTATCACGAATGTAGTATATAATGAAGGTGGCATTCCTAACCCATGAGAATGGCATGTGATACCCACGTGAAGTCGAAGGGTCTTCCTGGAGGTGGGATCAAATCGGAGGCTTCCTTCCCTGCCTGTATGGCTGTGGGGAGGAGGCTGAGGCCCCAGAGGTCCTGGAGCAGGAGAGCTACCTCAGTCCTGACTCCTGGCCCCATCTCAAGGCTGCAGAGCGAGACTGGGAGGAGAAGCGAGCAGCCCTGACCCAGTACAGTGCCAAGGACATCAACCGGCTGCTGGAAGAGACACAGGCGGAGCTGCTCAAGGCCATCCCTGACCTGGACTGTGCCAGCAAGGCCCATCCAGGCCCAGCCCCCACTCCAGACCACAAGCCCCCCAAGGCCCCCCACAGCCAGAAGGCAGCCCCCCGAACAGAGCCCAGCGGGAGGAGAGGCTCAGGTATGGGGAGCAGTAGGGATGGTGGGGAGCCCACCATGGGGGAGTGCCCTCCTTGGGAGCTCAGGCTGACAGGGCAGCACTGGGGCATCAAGATCATTGTGGTTGGGCTGCCAGACAAGGGAGTCCCGGTCTCACCACTAAAGGGAGACCGAGACCCAGAAGGACAGGGCAAGCTGACTTCATCCTGGGCTTTTCCCACTGTCGTGGGAGGGAGCCACTGAGAGGACCAGGCGTGGAGGATGAGCAAGTCCAGGCAGAGTTATCTGCCTCCACGACGTGGCTGGGCGCATGCCACAAACCAGGCTGTGCTGAGGGCAGGCTCCAGCGCTGGTACTGACACGGCTCCATGCTCCGCTCCCCAGCTTAAGTCATGGTCGCAGGGGAGGCAGAAATCCGGACCAGAAGTGGCAATCATCATTCCTTCACTTTATTCATTCCTTCAGTGCATATTTGTTAAGCACCTACTGTGTTCTGGGTGCTGGAAATATAGAAATAAGACAAGGCTTGCTTTCAAGGAGCTCAAAATTTAGTGAGGGAAATAATACTGACATTTGTGTTTATCATGCACTTACTCTGTGGTAAGAACTGTTCCAATGCTTTTAATGTATTCGTCCCTATGATTTTATAACAAGCCCAGGAGGCAGATACAGTAGCTAGTCCCATTTTACAGATGAAGAGACAGGCTCAAAATGATTAAGTAATCTGTGCCGGGCCATGCCTAGTCTGTAAACAGAACCAGCATGCAGGTGCTAAATGGAGTGGTAGGGGTGAATGCCCGTGCTGTGCAGTCCTGGCAGAGGCCCTGCGAGGGCAGGAAGCCTTCCCAAAAGAGGTGACTTTTCAAACCCCCCACCCCACTCACCCCCACCTCTCCCCCTCTTTAAAAAAAAAGAGGTGACTTTTCGCTGAAGTCTTGCAAATGAGTGGGGCACTTACCTAGCCAGTGAGAGAGGGCACTCCAGGGTGAGGGAACAGCATGTGCAAACCCCTGGAGGGGTGTGTGTGTGGCGTGGCCTGAACAGGGTCTAAGCCGGGGTGCAGCAGGTGGAGCTGAGGCTGGAAGCTTGGCAGGTGCAGAGGTGCTGGCCTAAGGAGGTTGGACATGGTTTGGGGTGATGGGGAGCCACTGCAGGATCAAAGGCCAGGGAAATGGCACTGTGAGAGTGACCTCTCTGCAGGTTACTCTGGGAACAGGAGTGGAGGAAAAATCCAGGGAAAGGAGAGCCCAGTGGGAGGGGCTAGGATCTTTGGAGGAGCGATGGAGAGCTGAGCAAGAGTGAGGGGCAGGGGGAAGGAGGGGCTTAGAGCAGTGCCTCTCCAGCTTGAATGTACATCCATCACCCTGGGATCTGTTCAGCCGGATTCTGGTTTAGCAGCCTGGGGGTGGGGCCTGAGCGGCAGTTGTGACAAGCTTCCGGGTGCTGCCGGTGCTGCTGGTCCACAGACCACCCTTGGAGTCGAAAGAGTGGGTGCTGTCAGGAGAGGGCCAGGGCTGGGGCTGGAGTGCAGGAGGAAGAGGAGGAGGGCCCTGTGTTCTTGCCCCCAGGCTTTCCGCTTCCCTCCTCCTGGTCCTCCGTGGAGGAAGAGGCAAGGTTTATTCCCTTCAAGTTAGATGCAGCGCACTGACTCCAGGATTGCAGGCCCTCTGACCCCCAGCCCCTTGGTGCCTGCAGATGAGTTGACAGTGCCCCGATACCGCACAGAGAAGCCCTCCAAGTCGCCCCCGCCGCCCCCTCCCCGCCGGAGCTTCCCCTCCTCTCATGGCCTGACCACCACACGCACTGGAGAGGTGGTGGTCACCAGCAAGAAGGACTCGGCCTTCATCAAGGTACCACTCCCGCCTTGGACAGAGGGCCCTGGGACTGAGTTAGGATGAAGCTTCAGATGACTTCTGCAGACCCTTTGGGGTGGGAAAGAGACCCCTTTCTCAGAGGACATGGAAGGAAAGAGGGGGTGGCCGGTGGTGACTTTGTTGTGCTAGTTTGGGACCCTGGGTATGTGCATTTGCCTTAATTTCATGTCAGGCCCCTGCCTGTTGGGGGACACCCTGGCAGGGGACAGCAGAAGTAGCAGATGAGAAGCTGGGTGGATAGGAGATGGGTGAGGTGAGCTGTTGCTGAAGGGAGGCAGAGCCTGGCCCTGACAGGGGTCCCGGGCCTTGCAGAAGGCCGAGTCCGAGGAGCTGGAGGTGCAGAAGCCCCAAGTGAAGCTGCGCCGGGCAGTGTCCGAGGTGGCCCGCCCGGCCTCCACACCACCCATCATGGCCTCGGCCATCAAGGACGAGGATGATGAGGATCGCATCATCGCAGAGCTGGAGGTGGGTCAGGACCCGCCTGGCCCCCGAGGCCTCAGCCAGACCCCCTTCCCTGCCAGGCTGCCCCCAGGCCAGGTGACATGAGGCGGAGGATGGGCCCTGGGGCTTCCCGTGGAGCACTGGCTGTGCTCAGACCCCAGCCTTCTTGCCTCCATTTGTTCACTGCAAAATGAGGGGTAGGGGTCTAAAGTCTTCTCTCCTTGCAGGTTTGAGTTTTTAAATTGTAGTCCCTGAGTCCCCCAAGTATCGGCAGACCTCCTGCACTCTGAAAGCCCCACGCCCGAAGAATCTGAGATCACCGAGTTTGGAGACCCCCAGCCCTGAGTGTTCCAAGATCAGCTCATGCTTGAGCCCCCCAAGCTTGAGTATTCTGAGGGCAGAGCTCTGAGGCTCACACCTCATGCCTCCACTCTCCCCATGGTGTCAGTCACCACACTCAAGTGTTCTCAGCCACTCCCAGCCCCAGTGCCAGAGACCTGGACTACCAGGGCCTCTGGAGGAGGTGACCAAATGAGGCCAGAGAGGGCTGGTGGCCATGGCAAGGGACCAAGGGGTGAGGCTGGGGGCCTGATGCCATCCCAGGCCACCCTCCCCAAGGGTGCCGGGGCCACAGGCGAGCACCCCCGTCCTCCCTGGTACCCCCTCCTCCAAACCTGTCCCCACCTTCTGCTCCTCAGGTGTTTGAGAGAAGCTCAGTGCCTTCCCTCCCCCCCACGCCCCGCCGCCAGCAGATCCCCACCTTGCTGTCCCCCCAGGACCTGGGGCCCCCCAGGGGCTCAGCCCTGGGCCCTACACGGAAGGTAACGGGGCTGCCCCCCACTTCTCACAGCTCTCTCTCTGCCTGTGCCTCCACAGCTTCCTCTCACCTCTCACGCTAACCTGCTAAAACGCCAGTCACCGTCCTGAGTCCCGCCACGGCCACAGCCACTGCCACAGCGTCACACGTGGACTTACCCCTCCCCCACTCCAAGGACAGGCGCATAACCCTTCCTCCCCGCTGCCTGCTAGGGGGGATCCCCGAGACTCCAGCAGCCTGGGTGTCTGGTGGCCCCTTGTGTCTGCATTTTCTCATGGGTTTGCCGATGGGGGCTGGAGTATTTTGTTCTGGTTCACAGTCTGAGCTTAGGTCTGGCCTGAAAGCTAAGTATGGTCTTGGGCCAAGACTGGAGTTTGGATCTTGCTGACAGGATGACTTTGGGTCCAACTCAAAATCTGACCTTGTCCTGAGCCCTTGCCTAGCCCCCACCTCCATCCCCACTGCTCTGCTGCCTGTGCCGGGAGGGCCTCTGTTTCCCCACTAGAATCTATGCCTTGTGCTGGGGGCCAGGACACCGCAGGGGCAGGCCCGTCTGCAGCCTCACCATCCCCATGGCCCACGTTGCTTTCTTTGACAGAGAGCTTGGAATGGAAGAAACCCATGCCGGTCCTTGGCTGCCGGTTCTTTCTGCATTGGGAAGTTCTTCCTTCTCTCTAACCTCAGTTCTTGCTGCTGTCCTGCTGAACTTATTTCCTCTTTATTCTTTCCTGGGAATTTGGGGGTGAACCTGCTGTCTGCACCCCACCCCTGGGGACTGTGCTTGGGGTGGAGGGAAGGGGGAGGATCTGGGAATCTGGCTGAGGCAGGGGGACCTTTGTTCTGGGGAGGGACAGCCTCCCATGTGCACACACTCCCTTTCTGGGTCTCCCTGGCTCACAGTGAACTCTGGGCTGGCGGCCACCTGATTTCTAGCCTGGCTGGAGGCCTGGTGGCACTTTGGTTTCCTGGCGGGGGAGGAACAGAGGGGCATCAGACAGCGGACAGTGCCTCCTGCTGGGCAGGGGATGGGCACAGGGCAATGCGAGGAACCTCTAGGATGAGCTGTGTGGAAGGGGCGCCTCCTGGGCTGGCTGTGCCCCCAGCACTTTGGCCCCTCCCATCCAAGCCCTGCCCCTTTCCGGCTCTGGAGGCCAATCCTGAGGGGCCCAGTGGATGAGGCCTTTTGCCCCTGGCCAACCCTCTGCATCCTGCAGCCACATCGGGCAGTGGAGCTGGGCGAGCGTGAGGTCGCCCTCTCTGCCTTCCCAGTCAGCACCCCCTGCTTCCAGGTAAGTAGGTGGTAAGGCTGGGTGGGTTCCTTTGCAAGGGGGTGGTTGGGGGTCCCTGCTACCAGCTCCCATCTCCCTATGGCTCCCTTTAGTGGAAGGAGCACTGGCCTTGGAGTCAGACTATCTGGGTTCAAATCCAGGCTCTGCCACTAACTAGCTGTGGGTGGGTGACCTTGGGTGAAGCATGTAACCTCTCGCCCTGGTGAGAGCAGCAGTCACTTCACGGGTTAAGGTAGGCACTGAAGGTGAGGATGGGTGTGGCCGCGCCTGGCACAAGCCTGGTGCTCAGAGTTAGACCAGGATTTCACTGACATCAGGAAGTGGTATTTGGGGCCTCCCTCTGTGTCCTCACTGAGGCCATGGCCAGGGATGCTGGCACTGGAGCAGGTGCCCAAGGAAGCTTTGCCCGAGTGTGTGCAGCAGAGGGTTTGGCAGGAGGCGAGCCCCACCCATCTGGCTGTGAAGCTCTTGGGGAGAGCACACAAAGTTGGGGGGGACCAGAAGTCTATGGTTTGAGATGGGATGTGTCCCCACCCTTCAAGGCCAGAGGCTGACATGTGGTCTCTGCCCACACAGGGTCGAAGGTCTTGGTCATTCCATTCATTTCAACAAATAGCTAATATTTCTGAAGCACTCACTCCATGCCTGGCGAGCTCACTTAACCCTCCACCAGCCCCACCTTGGTGCTTAGTCACAGATGGGCACACTCCCGGGGGCGAAACTGAGACCAGCCCCTGGAGCTTACATGGGCGGTGTGAACTAAACGTTGCCAGCCCCTGGGCAAACTAGCACCTTTCCCAGAAAGCAGGGGGCCATGCGGTATGGAGAGAAGACACCTGAATTCTGGTCCCAATTCTGCCTCCAACTTACTGGGTAGCCTCTCTCAGGACCCTCCCTGCCCCAGTGTCCCCATCTGTGAAAGAAGGGGGCTAGGCTCACCTAACTGTAACCCCCCTTTTAGCTTGGGGTTTGGTTGTAGGAATCACATGCTGCTTCATCTTCCTTCTGCCCCCAGGCTGTCCCAGGTCCCAGGGCCTTCTGCATCCCGAGGATCATCTTGACAGAGTATGCCCCCAACCCTCCCTCCACGCCAGAGATCAGACTTGAGGAACCAGGACCCAGGACAGCTCCTACCCCAAAACCTCGGACCCTGGCTGACAGCAGGAGGGGCTGGGATGGCCCAAAGGCCCTGCCAGGGGCAGTCGGGGAGACTCCCGGGCCAAGGAGTGGCTTCATGCCCCAGAAGGAGGGGGCAGTTCTGAAGACACTGGGCAGAGGAGGCTGCAGCCCAGAGGATAAAGGAGCCAGGGTCCCCGGGCCTCAGGGACCAGCCCAGGATGGGACTCCGGAGACCTCTACTGCTGACGCCTACCCAGAAAAGACCCTCAAGGACTCTGGACATGATGCCCAAACGTGCAGTAGGGAGTGCCAGGGCCAGGTTGCCGCCAGCTCAGGCTGCACTGCATGGGGCGCCACCGCCCAGCGGATGGACAGCCTGGAGGAGACGCTCCGGGAGCTGGAAGCCACCCTGGGCAACATGGGCACAGGCCTTGCTGTGGGGCCCCCTGACAGCCCTCCATCCCTACCCCTTGGCCCCCAGGTGGCTGCCCCCTCTTAATCCTCCCCTGCTGCCCTCCTGCTCCATTCCAGAGTCGGACGGAGTAGCGGGCAGCAGGAGTGCCAGGCCAGCCCCCTCCTCCCACCAGCCTTCTCTCAGCTCTTACTGCTCTGCTGGAAGCCTGGTGCCAGAGCAGGGTTTGCAGGCAGAGTCCGGGGGAGGCTGGGAAGCCGGTCTACCCAGGGGTCGGCCAGCCCCCAGCTTTGGCAAGAACCAGGGCCTCTCCCCTTCTGCCCTGTACCTGTAGACCACCTAATAAAGTTTTCTCCCCATCTTCCATCCCCATGCTCCCCTCCCCTGCCGTCTGACTTTCTGTCTCTGTCACCTCTCTGCTCGCGCCTCTGGATCCCCAGTGTCCCCTGGGCAGGCCTGGTACTTGGGGAGGTTCATGGGGGCCAAGCTTGCCCCCATGGGAGACCTCACCTCCATCCTCCCATTAGGAGGAGGATGTGGCCTGAGGCCGCCCGTCTGCTCTGTGTGCCGTTATAGAGAGCCCCTCGCTGGCATGTGCACCCAGGTCCAGACGGTGCCCCTTGCCGGGAGCGGGGGCACTGCTGGGGACCCTCACTTTAGCAGAGGCTCCCCAAGAAGGGTATCAGCTGCCCCTGGGCTACTCAAGGAAGCCACCAAAGAGTGTCCCTCAGGAGCCGCTGGGAAGCTGGCTGGGCAGCACCCCCACTCTCCTGCAGGGAGGCCGTAAATAGGGGCTCAGAGGGTGGGCCTGGGTCCTGGACTGGGATGTGGAGCCAGAGAGGGGTCTCCAGGTCCCAGAGGGCCCCACTGAGGAGGTGCCAGCCCGAGACCCAACCCGGTGCTAGGGTTCTGGTGTGGTTCACCCCACACGGACCCTGCAACCCTGTTCCTCTTCTTGCAGAGTGGTGGAGGCAGTGTACCGCCCATGAAGGTGGTGACTCCGGGGGCCTCTCGGCTGAAGGCAGCCCAGGGCCAGGCGGGCAGCCCCGACAAAAGCAAGCATGGCAAGCAGAGGGCCGAGTACATGCGGATCCAGGCCCAGCAGCAGGTGAGGGCAGGGACTGTGGGGCCACCTGGGCCCGCTCTGTGGCATGCTGGGCCCCTGCCCTGCGCTGGGCACCTCCTGCCCCTGCTCCCGTGACCAGCTTCCCCCGCCTCTGCCCAGACACACCCTCCCTGCCAGAACTGCCCCACCCACCCTCTGAACCATCTTCTCCCTCCTCCTCCCGATCCCGGAGCTTTAGATCTGGATTAGAACCTGAGTTCCCAACCTGGCACCCCCCCTCTCAGGAGTCCCCTCACTCAGAGACAGAAGACTCATCTCCAGCTACCACTGCTGCTCCTGGAGGAGGGGTGAGCTGGTCAGTTTGAGACTCCAGAAGCCCCAGCGTCTGGGTCCCTTCTCAGGCCCAGACTACCCTGGGATGCATAAGGGGGATTAGGGGCCCTTTCCTTCCTGCCACCCCAGTTCTCTCTTCTGCTTCCCCTCCCTGTTCCCAGCCTGCTCTTCCAGACCCCACTCTCATCTCAGGCTCCCTTTTAGCTCTTAAGCCACCCCTAGCCAAGGGAGAAGCCAGCTTTGCATCTGCCTTTCAGCCTTGTGTTTGGGTTTCGGTGGGGTCACCTCCCGTCTTTGCAAGGTGAGGTGGGGACAAGGGAGAGGCACTTTGGCCCTCAGGAAGGGCAGGGGTGCCAAAGGAGTTGCAGGGGTGCTGCAGTCTCTTTCAGATCTAATGAGCAGGTGTGGGGGCTGCGTAGAGTGGACAAACCTCACCCATGGGTGTTTACTGCCCGTGGCCTGCCTGTGTGGCCTGGTCAGAGGTGCAGGGTGGCCCCCAGACCTAGTTGTGAGAGACAGTGCTCTCATTTGGGTCAGTGAATATTTCTGAGCAGCTCCTGTATGCCAAGCCCATCCTGGGTGTGAGGGTGGGGTCTGTGATATGTCCAGATGCTCTCACTTGAAGAAGGTTCTAGACTCAGAGCAAGAGGTTAGAAATGGGTTAGTCCATCTCCTTTTCAGATGAGGGGACAGCTCAGAGAAGGGACGGGCTTTCCAAAGGTGCAGAGCAAGGGGGCATCACAGCCAAGATCAGGACCCAGGAACCCTGGAACCTTTCCCTGCACTGGCCCTGGGACACAGCCCTGGGCACCCAAGGCCCTGCCTCCCTGCTGGCTCCCAGGAGAACCTCTCAAACACCAGCCCTCCAGCCCCCCACAGCCTCTCCACAGCTCCCCACCTGCCTCCTCATGGTCCCCAGATACACTGCGAGTCTTACCCACAGCTCTTTTCCTGCCACTGCCAGGGATGAGTTCCCCTGGTCCTGTCCAGGTGCCCAGCATAGCAGCTGACATTGACAGAGCTTTCGCTGGGGCCAGGCACCTGTGTTACCTCATCTCACACTCACCACAGGAAGGTCTATTACCTCCATGTGACAGGTGAGGAAACAGGCTTAACCCAAGGCCACACAGCTGGCAAGTGGGGGGCAATACACCAGTCCAGACTGCCTCCCTCCCCACTGCAAAGAGCTGCATCCTCTCCAGCAGGCCCTGCCCTCAGCTCTAATCGTGCTCCCGTTTCCCACCCTAGCCCCTCGCTCCCCAGAGCCCAGCTCCTCGGCTGTGGTGTTAGCCTCACGCCTTTATGGCCCAGCCTCCACCCTTCCCGGGCTTGCCTGGGTCCCCAGCGGCATCCAAGTGTGCTCTTTCCACCCCCTCCCACACTGCTCTGCAGCGCATGGCTGTGTAGACCCCCACACCTGCATAGGGCTGTGCAGACCCTCTGTTCCTCAGCATCCTCTCCCCAGCCTCCATCCCCAGCTTCAGGGCTCCTTTCTGGGTGGGCGACTCTTTTTTTTTTTTTTTTTTTTTGATGGGAGCCTCACTCTGTCATGCAGGCTGGAGTGCAGTGGTACAATCTTAGCTTACTGCAGCCTCCGCCTCCGGGTTCAAGTAATTCTCATGTGTCAGCCTCCTGAGCAGCTGGGACTACAGGCGTGCGCCACCAAGCTGACTAATTTTTGTATTTTTAGTAGAGACAGAGTTTCACCATGTTGGCAGGCTGTTCTCCAACTCCTGAGCTCAGGTGATCCACCGGACTCAGCCTCCCAAAGTTCTGGGATTACAGGTGTGAGCCACCGCACCCAGCCTGGGCGACTCTCCTCTTCCCGCCTCTTTCCTTCCCTGTGCCCACTCCTCAGGCTCTTCTCACACCATTCCTTCCTCTCCTCAGGCACCAGGCACCGCTTAGTCCCTGCCCCGACCCAGGTCTCCGCTCCAGTCACCCACACACACCTCCCTGCGCCCCCAGGCTCCTTGAACAGACACAATGCCCCCCCTCCCGCCCCAGCTTACTAGGCTGCCCCAGCTGCTGTCCCCCTCAGGAAGGATCGCCCACCCCAGACTTGCCGAGCCCCTCCCTGCCCCTGTCTCACTTCCAATGCTTCAGTAGGCTTTCTTACAAACAGCTTCTTTTTTGTTGCCCAGGCTGGAGTGCAATGGCGCCATCTCGGCTCACTGCAACCTCCGCCTCCCGGGTTCAAGCGATTCTCCTGCCTCAGCCTCCTGAGCAGCTGGGATTACAGCCGAGCACCACCACACCTGGCTAATATATATATATATTTTTTGCATTTTTAGTAGAGATGGGGTTTCACCATGTTGGTCAGGCTGGTCTCAAATTCCTGACCTCATGATCCGCCCACCTCAGCCTCCCAAAGTGCTGGGATTATAGGTGTGAGCCACCGCGCCCAGCCACTACTTCTTTCTGGTAAAGTAATACATGTTTCCTGTGGAAATTTTAAATAGTAAAGTATAGAGAAGCAGGGAAAAACCATCTATGTCTTACTACCCACATGCATGGTCTTCTAAGATCTCCCTGTGACTTCTGTCACCTCTAACTGATTTCCCAAAGCCTTCGAGTGGGAAGGAAACTGCAAAATGCAGATTTGATTGTCTCTGTGTGTGTTGGACACACACACACACCCCTGCTAGCTTAAAATCCCTGCCCTGGCCCCTGGTGGATGATAAGCCCAATCCTTCGTGTGCAGCCCAGGCCCTTCACAGCAGCCTCAGCTTACTGTGCTCCTCCGCCCCATGCCCTCCGCGTGCTCCAGCCACGCCGGCCACTGGTGGGACATGCTCCACGCCAGCTCAGCCCATGGCCTTGGTCAAGTCCTCTCTCTTCTCAGGCCCTTCCTCATCTGTACAATGGGGACAGAAGTATCCAGCCAGGTCCTGAGCTCACGTAGTGCCAGGTGCAGGAGAGAGCTGGGAAAACCACCACGAGCTCTACGGGGTGGGGGTGGGGGTCAGCGCCCAAGGCCTCTCCTTCACCCAGTGAGCCTAAGCTGTCAACAACGTTGAGGTGGAGGGGACTAGAAGTGCCGGGATCAGGGACACGGAAATTGGGAGTAAGGAAGTTCTAAGTTGCAGGTGCCTTGCTACAGTGCCTGACCCCACGGGGCAGTCAGAGGAAGAGAAGCCCATGAATGTTGTGCTTTAAGAGCCCAGGGAGGGATGGGAGCCAGGTTCCCAGGCGTGCAAGGATCAAGGGCTTGGTGGTGACCTGAAGCTATGGACACCCCCTCTTCTATTAGGGCTAAGAAATCTGCCGTGACTCAGTGTCCTTGTCTGTAAACGGAGCTAATAGTATGAGCTAGGACTCATAAGCCTATTACTAAGAATTAAATATGATCTAAGTAAAGAGTGTACCCAGTGCCTGGCGCGTGGAGCTGATTTCTTCTGCTTACTGCTATTTGTTTTCTTTGAGACTGAGCTTCGCTCTGTCACCCAGGCTGGAGCACAGTGGCACGATCTTGGCTCACTGCAACCTCTGCCTCCCGGGTTCAAGCAATTCTCCTGTCTCAGCCTCCCAAGTAGCTGGGATTACAGGCACATGCCACCACACCAGGTTAATTTTTGTACTTTTAGTAGAGACGGGGTTTCACCATGTTGGCCAGGCTGGTCTCGAACTCCTGACCTTGTGATCCACCCGCCCTGGCCTCCCAAAGTGCTGGGATTACAGGTGTGAGCCACCACACCCAGCCTTTATTTATTTTTGTTTTTTTTTTTTAGTAAAGAGGGGGTTTCACCATGTTGACCAGACTGGTCTCAAAGGCCTGCCTTGGCCTCCCAAATACTGGGATTACAGACGTGAGCCATTACATCCGGCCCCATATGAGGAAACTTTAATCAAAGGACCACACCAGAGGATTGAGGGAGCAAACAAGGGACTCCCTGGGGGAAGAGCAGTGGGGCAGGTGTTTAGAGAGTCCCAGAGGGCGGGAGCAGCAGAGCTGTGCTGTGGACGGCACAACTGTGGCCTGTGACACTGCTCCAAGGAGGAGAGAGCAGGGAAGGAACTTCACCCCCTCCCTCTCTCACCCTGCCGTAGACCCCACTGCCCAAAACCCAACCAGAGGCCAGTCAGCAAAGGAATGACCGGAGTCAGCCTCTCAGGGTACACAGCAGGGCAGAAATTAGTTCTGGGAGAGCGGGGGCAGTGGCTCATGCCTGTAATCCCAACACTTTGGAAGGCTAAGACAGGAGGAGCACTTGAGGCCAGGAATTCAAGACCAGCCTGGGCAATACAGTGAGCCGCCATCTTTTTGGAAAAAAATATGAAATACAGAAATTGGTTCTCGGGCATGGAGAGACAAGTGAAAGACAGATAGCATACCTGTTAGGTACCGAGTGTATGCACCTGTTTTATTCCTCATAACAACTTTATACCTTAAAGGAAACTATGTTGTCACAGCTGCATCCCCACAGCACCTAGAATAGTGCTTGGCATATGTAGGCACTCAGTAAATAATTGTTGGGTGAATGAGTGAATGAGCTTGCCACTGATCAGGCCCAATCCAGATGGAAACAGACAAAGCGAATCTGACAGGTGAAAATAGCAATCACCATAATGGCTACCATTTGTTGCACGTGTACTGCGGGTGCCGGCCCCGGGCTTCACGCCCTGTTGGGTTCATCTCATCGTGCACATCAGGTGCTATTGGGCCTGTTATCCTTGTTTGCAGGTGAGACACGAAGGCCTAGAGAGATACACGATTAGGGTCATATGGCTAAAAAGTGACAGAGCGGGGACTTGAACCCAAGTCTGCCTGCTACAAATTCTGCTGTCTTAGTGCTGGATTCTGTTGGCCTGCCAGGAAGCATAACCTTGTGGGTGTGAGCAAGCCTCCGTGAGATCATGAGAATTCTAGAAGGTGACACCTTAAAAAAAAAAAAAAATGAAGGTTGAATAGAACAGTAAAGCAGTGCTGGGCCTCAGGTGTATCAGTGGGAATGCTTTCAGCTGCAAGGAACAGGCACTCTGATTCAAAATGGCTTAAATAATAAGGAAAGGTATTCTCTAACCAGGAAGCCTGGAAGCGGGGAGATTCCAGGGTTGGCGAATTCAGCAGCTTGAGGATATCAGGACCCAAGTTTCTTTGCATTTGGTCCTGCTGTCATTTCTATTATTATTATTTTTGAGAAAGGGTCTTACTCTGTCACCCGGGCTGGAGTGCAGTGGTGCGATCACAGCTCACTGCCACTTCCACCTCTTGGGCTCAGGCATTCTACCTCAGCCTCCAGAGAAGCTGGAAGCACAGGCACACACCATCACACTCAGCTATGTAAGATTTTTTTTTTTTTTTTTTTTTAGTAGAGACAAGGTCTCGCCATGCTGTCCAGGCTGGTCTTGACTTCCTGGGCTCAAGCAATCCTCCTGCCTCGGCCTCCTAAAGCGCAGGGATTATAGGTGTGAGCCATCACACCCGGCCCTTGTTTTGATTTGCATAAAAGGGAAATGTAGACGGCAAACTACACTGTGGCGAGCAAAACCCAGGTGAATCTCGGAACCAGCCATTTGCGCACCTGTGGAAGAAGAAATGGTGATTGCAGCCAGGGTCGGTTCTTCACCGTGACCAGGCAGGCTGCTGGAGGCAGGGCTTGCCTTAGCTGCTGCCTTCTCTGCTGCCAGGCCTCTGAGAGAACCCCCTGGCAGCAGGGTAATCATATAGAAGTGAACCACCCTGCCCAGACCTAACCTCAGGGTGGTCTCTGGTGACTCGCCACAGCACCCTGTCTCATCTTTTGGATCTTTTTTTAAATCAGGGTGGTTCAGTTCTCACAGTAGTAGCTAAGCAAGGCCAGGAGGGACAGTGAATATAATTACCGGGAGAGACCAGGTCTGTGTAGCCCTAACCCAGTGGACCTCAAAGGTAAGCGTACAGCAGAATCACATGGGTGCCTGCTTTGAAAATGCACATTCAGGAGCCCACAAAAGAGACGATTCTGGAGGGAAGCCCAGGAATATGCATTCACGACGCATGCCACAGGGGGTCTGTCCCTTGGAGGTGATGAGGTGATGCACGTAGCTCTCAAACCATACTTTGGAGACCGAAGCTCCAGAGGCTGAGGGTCCGGGACTGGTGGAGACATGGCCTGATGTAGGGGTCCACCGAAGGTCGGGGGAGGCTGACGGGCCAGTTCTGACCACCAGAGCTGACCAGTGAGGGCAGGCGAGTCATGAGGGAGCAGCCTCCGTGACCAAGTGGGGTGACCAGGAGTGCTTGTGGGGTTGCAGTGGGGCTTGCTGCGCTGGGCGGAGGCTGTGTGGTAGCACCTTCCCAGATTTCCATGTGGTTGGGGAGGGGGTCTTTGACGTGTTTATTCCCGACTGGGAGGATAAGCCCCCTCCTCTGTTGCCACCAGGATGAGGTTGGAAGGGGCCTTGGCTGTGCGGCAGGCCAGTTGGGACTAGGAGCCTTTCCCCACCCTGCCCCCCTCCCCTGAAGGCCGGGTGTCCCTGTGGCAGCTAACGTTTCACTTCTTCTTCCTCCCCTCTCTGCCCTCCCCCACCCGTCTCCCCTCTGCTGGCTTGGGCGCGGCCTCTCCTGTGCTTCTCTCTGCTCTCAGTAACTGTGGGCCTGCCCTCCGGCTCTGACCGCCCACGCAGGCCCTTTGTCCCACCTCTTGCTCCCTCCCCACACCCCGTTTCTGTCCCTGCCCCTCCCCATTCAGGGGACTCCTCTCTCCAGATGCCCCTCTGGCTTCTTCCTTTTGCAGTTAATTTCCTTGGATTTGTGGAGGTTTTCCCCTTTTAAAACTTCAGCTGGGGGCCAGCATGGAGGCTCTCCCTTCCGCTCTCTGACCCCTGACCCCTGTTTTTGTTCCAGGCCACTAAACCATCTAAAGAGATGAGCGGGTCGAATGAGACCTCGAGCCCAGTCTCAGAAAAGCCCTCGGCTTCCAGAACCTCTATCCCTGTATTGACTTCCTTTGGGGCAAGGAATTCTTCCATCTCCTTCTAGAAGCCCCTCACCCACCACCCCGCCTGTCCCCCTCCCTTCCTCCTGCCATTTCTCCCCTCTCTTCCCTTCATCTCAGCCCCACCCCACTCTCCAGACCCCCAGGGGTGTGCCCTGCAGAGGAGGGGCAGCCCTCCCCAGCTCCCTCTACCATCCTCTGTTGGTGTTTTTGGTTTTTTTTTTAACGGTTCACTTTTAATTATCTTTTTTTAAACAGTAAAACTAAAAACCAAACACACCACCTTCCTTGATGGTTCCCAGCTGGCCTCTCATTGGCTGCACCTGTCACGTCTCTCCCTCTTCTTTCACCACTGTCCCCGCTCCGAGTCCATCCTGAAGCTCCTGCACCCCTTCCTGCCTTCCCCTCACTTCCCAAGAATACTCCAAACAAACTCTGAGCCACGGAGACTGGGAGCAGTGGGAGACCCTCTCCCCTTTCTTGGTACCTACCTGGAGGAACTCGGGGACATCGGACCAACCCCTACATCAGGCCGGAGAGCGGGGCGCAGGGAGACTGGCCTTGGAGACGCCCCACTCTGTCCCAGCTCGGACAAGACTGTGACCTCTGTGGCTGCTCTGTGCCCTCCTACTCACACCCTGATGGTCCTGAAGTTGAGACGGACGGGCTGGAGGAGGGGCTGGAGCTTGAGAGGCCTCAGGGTGGGTGTGAGGTCAGTCATGGAGTCTGTGTCCCTGCGGAGGTGCTGGCCTCCTGGGTCTCGCCGCCCTGTGGGGAGTGGAGGACAGAGGCCCTTTGGACTGCTGGCTGTGAAGGGTGGGTCACAAGGACAGCTGGACATCAGGGACACTGCCTTGGGAGAGGGTGCCCCGGACGGGTATTTGGTACTTTTAGTTTCCTGATTTAGCACTTTAAATGGCATTAACTTATTTAAGGGGGGTGGGGCGGGCAAGAACGAGGGACCTAGAAAACCAGGTTTTGTGGCCCGCAGGTTGGGGAAGGGTCTGGTTTGGGGGAGAATGGGAGAGTCAGAGGGACTTGACAGGGAGCAGTGAAGACAACTGGGACCCGAAGGTGGGGTGACTTGACCTTCGGGCGTCTTCTTTGTGATTTGAGGGTTTTCTGGGAAAGGGTGGGATGTAGTTTTTCAGTGGGGCTCTGGTGACCCTGGTGAGATGTCTGAAGGTCCCTGAGGCCTGACCGTCCAGCCAGCGCCCCCGGCCTGTGGACACCAGCCTGCCCTGCGGAGGCGGGTTGGCAGTCCCACCTGGCTTTTGGCCGGGTCTTGGGGAGCCAGAGAGAGGCCAATTTGGTTCTCACTCCTGGCCCCCCAGAGGGCACAGTGAGGAGCCAGTAGGGAGATGATGGGAGAGGAGGAGGAGGAGGAGCAGGAGCGGGGTCCCTGGCAGAGGGATTCCCACTTGGAGCACAAAGCGAAGCAAGCACAGGGGAGGGACTGGAATCGGTCCCCCCAGCAAGCACAGAAGGGAGGCGCCAGGGAGGCAGAGCCCCAGCCTCTGGGGCCTGGCTGGGGAAGGTCCAAGTTTGGGGAGCTGGGAGCTGTTGCAGGTCTGTGGGGGAGGGGAAACGGGTTGTGTTTCTTCATTTCTTTTTTTTTTTTTTTTCTTGTTTTTGCCTTTGTTGGTTCATCCTTGTTTTCTAGCTTTGGATCATTTTTGTACCAAGGCAAGCAAGCCTTTTTGAAAAATAACAAAAGAGGAAAAAAAAATCCCTCCTGGAAAAAAAAAAAACCCCTGGAAAATAGGAAAAAAGGACCTCATAAATGATGCAATTACTTTTAATTGCAGGCAACTCTTTACATTTAAGTGAAGTGTCTTAACATTTTATATTGTTTTAAAAATATATTTACATATTATATATATAATATACGTAATATAAATATATATAAATATTTAAAAAAGAAAAAAAAAAACCACGGCACTCTCTCCCTGGCCACTGTTTTGGCGGGGGAGGGGGTCTGGGGGGCGGGCACGTTGGCCTGGCTTCTGTGATCCCGGTGAAAGGGTCTGGTTTGATTTGGCTGTACAGAGACCCCCTGGCTTGGGAGGGGAGGGGGGAGTGGTGCCCCCTCCTCCCTCCACTCATTACTCTGCTTGCTACTTCGCTTGCCCGAAGCTCCCACCCTCAGCCCTGTGACTGGAATGTGTGCCCCACCGTCATTGTCCTGAGTTGAATGTCCCTTTGTGGGGGAGGTGGGGGGCAGTGTCCATCCAATGAAGGGGCAGAAGGAGGGAGCCGAGCGCCCCACCCCACCCACTCGGGGGAAGCCCAGTGGGTTTGCATCTTTCTTTCCCTTTGGTTTCGGCACACTTACTGGCTGGGAGGCACCCGTGTGGAATCACGTGCAGCCTGCGTGTGTGCAGATGCATGGGGCCTGCATTAGCAGGCGTGGCCCAGCACTCGTGTGGGGGAGGTGTGTGCACATCGGTGCATGTAACCTGTTTGGGCATTGGCACGTGCCTACCTGCATGTTAGCGTGAGAGGAGCTTTGAGAACACGTGTGATGTGTGCGCAGACATGCCTAGCGCCGGGGACGTGCGTGGGCCACATACATGTAGACAGAGGCTCGTACATAGAGGTGCATGTGATCTGTGTCTGCCAGCGTGTGTGTGCACGTATGTGTGCTGGTGCGGACCCAGGCGTGTGGGTGTGCCTCTGTGCGTGTTCACATGTGTTCCATCATCCCTGCACTGCTGGCTCCGGCTCCCTTCCCGAGCCCCCATCCCCGCTGGCCCTCTCACAGCCCGCAGCACGTCAGTGCCCCCAGCTGCATGCGCCTTGCTGCTCTGTCCATCAGTGTGTGCTTGACCAAGAGAAAACGAAGACGTCTGTGGGGACCCCTGTACCTAATCCTCTCAGCCCCCACCCACTGTGCTGTGTTACTCGCATGGGGGGTTTCTCTCCTGCCCCTTCCACAATATGCTGTTTCCCCTGGAGCCTCAGGCCCGAGGCTCTGAGTGGGGTCCCCAGGGGGCCCCCGCTGGGGTGAGCCCCCGCTCCACACCCTGCCCCGTCCACCCTGTAGGGCCCGTGTTGGTGTAGCAGTGATGGCTTCTGTGGATGTTCTGTGACCTCTGTCAGTGTAACTTGACAATTTCTAAATGGAAAAGGGTTGCTGTGTTTTCTGTCTCTTTTTTAATGTCCTTTTTTCTTCTCCTCACCTCTCTGCTCTCTTTTCAGTTTTTCTAGCCAAGTGTTTGGGGCTTTAATAAAACTTGTTTCTTTTTCCTCTCCTGGATCTCCTTCCTACAGACTGATGTCTCATTATTTCTCAGCTTCACCCTGGAGGGTCTGGAAGGTGCTGGAATGGGCAGGGTGGCAGGTGGGGAATCCCCGGCAGCCATTGGCCCTGACCCTTCAGCCGGCAGGGCATGAAGGGGAGGACAGAACAGGGCCCCTGGGACTATCCGGGCGTGGTGGCAGGCACCTGTAGTCCCAGCTACTTGGATGTCTGAGGCATGAGAATCTCTTGAACCTAGGAGGTGGAGGTTGCAGTGAGCCGAGATTGTGCCACTGCACTCCAGCCTGGGCGACAGAGCGAGACCCTATCTCAAAAAACAAAAACAAAAAACGAAAAACCAGCTCTCAGCTTGGCACTCCAGGAGATGCCCTGCCTAACCCTCACGACCATTGGTGAGGTAGCTGTGGGCACCACCTACTCGGGCAAATGACAAAGTGATCTGGGCATCTGAGCCAGGGTCATACAACTGGTGGCTGTAGACACACCAGTAAGTTTGAATCCAGCTCTGCCTGACACCAAAGCCAATGGTTACCCCCAAAACCAAGCAGGGCGGATGACCTCCAGCAGTCCCCTGAATTGGGTCTTGGCCTCCTGTCCTTTGGGTGGGGTGACCCTTGGTGGGGTCCACCCATCTTTCTTTTCTGCGGGGAGGGGTCTCTGCCACCCAGGCTGGAGTGTGTGATCACAGCTCAGTATAGTCTCAACTTCCCTGGGCTCCTGTAATCCTCCCACCTCAGGCTCCCAAGTAGCTGACTACAGGTGCCTGCCACCACACCTGGCTACACTTTTTTGTGTTTTTTGTAGAGACGAGGTTTACCATGTTGCCCAGGCTGGTCTCGAACTCCTGAGCTCAAGTGATCCACCAGCCTCGGCCTCTCAAAGTGCTGGGATTACAGGTGTGAGCCACCGCGCCCATCACGCCCATCTTTTCTAGAGCAGCAGCTTTGGAACCTGTAAAGCGGTAACAATACAAAATGCATTTGACACCTCTGTGCTTTAGTATGTACACACACGTGCAAACAGCCGCAGCAGAGCAGCACCTGCTGCACACACAGCACCATGGAGTGGGTTTTACAGGCCTTCCTGGAATTCTGAAGGCTGTGCCACTGTTCCAGCATGTTCTAAGCATCCCCGAGGCTGCCCTTCTAGCTGTCTGGGTGGTTGAGGGCTGCCATGTTACTGAATCTCTTCCCCTCTCAGCATCACTTCACTTCCATCTCTGAAGTTAATATCTGTGTCTGGAGCCACAATCTTCCAGTCATCGCAGGGGCCCCAGCAGCCCTTTCTTCTCCTAAAGGCCTCTTTGGAGTTAGAGGACAGCAACCTGCCTTCTGTCTGCAGGGACTGCCCCTCCATGAGTCACCCACCCACCAAAGCCCACCAATCCTTGAGACTCACAGAAAGCCAGTCCTCACCCTGCCCGTAGCCCATCCCTACACCCTTTTTAGAATGTCAGCAGATCTTGCCTTCTTTCTGCTATCCTATTCCCAAAAAACAGAGGAGCCAAAACCCCTGCTCAGAATTGCCGCACCCACTGACAGTTCAAGATCAAGTAACGGAAACATCCACCGGCCACCCAGAAGGGGGCTGGCGCTCGTTCACCCGTCAGATGCCTCTCCAGGGTCCACTCCTTGGGGCTGGGGCTGTGTCTGGCAGGGGAGCTACCTGGACAGCCAGCAGACAGAACATAGACACCCGAGCTCAACCAAGGCAGGCGCTGGGAGGGCACAGGAGAGAGACCTGTGGCAGGTGTGGCGGGGAGTAGCAGGTCGGTCGCATCTGAGGGGAGACCTTGTGGGTGAAGAGTGGGCTTTGGGGGCACTGGTGGCTGAGGGTCCCAAGCACAAGGCCCTGGGTGGGACATAATCTGTGGGTTCTGGAAAATGTTGGAAACCCAAGAAGAGTGAGGTGGGGAAAGCGCAGTGTAGGGGCAGAAGCCCCCTCATGTGAGACCTTATCGGCTGCAGTAAGGAAGGTGCCATGGGAAACAACAGGAGGGTTTTAAGAAAGTGTTGTGAACTGACATGTTTCAGAAGTTGTCTGAGTGGGCCGGGCGCGGAGGCTCACGCCTGTAATCTCAACACTTTGGGAGACTGAGGGGGGTGGATCACCTGAGGCCAGAAGTTCAGAACCAGCCTGGCCAACATGGTGAAACCCCATCTCTACTAAAAATACAAAAATTGGCTGGGCATGGTGACGGGTGCCTGTAATCCTAGCTACTCGAGAGGCTGAGGCAGGAGAATCGCTTGAACCCGGGAAGCGGAGGTTGCAGTGAGCCGAGATCGTACCACTGCACTCCAGCCTGGGGGAGAGAGCAAGACTCTGTCTCTTAAAAACGTTACCTCTGGCTGCTTTGTTTCCACAAGGAGGCAGGGGTGAAAGCAGAGTGATTATTTAGGATGTGCCACGTGCAGATGACAGCTGCCTGCACTCATGCGAACCTGACAACCCAAAGGCTGAGGGAAGGGGAAAATATGTATCAGAGACTTTGTAGCTTCAGAGTGATGGAGCCAGAATTGATACAGGACTTGGTTGAGCAAGATGGCTCACACCTGTCATCCTAGCACTTTGGGAGGCCGAGGTGGGCAGATCGCTTGAGCTCGGGTTGGAGACCAACATGGTGACGTCCCGTCTCTACAAAAAATACAAGAATTAGCCAGATGTGGTGGTGGGTGCCTGTAGTCCCAGCTACTCAGGAGGCTGAGGTGGGAGGATCGGTTGAGCTGGGGAGGCTGATGCTGCAGTGATCCGTGATTGTGCCATTGCACTCCAGGCTGGGTGACAGAGCAAGACCCTGTCTCAACAATGAAAAATCCAGGACTTACCCTTCCCAATCGCCATGCCTTATGTTTTACAATACTAATTGCTAACATTTATGGAGTGTCATTTAATCTAACAACCCAGACAACAGGTATTACGTCCATGCTACCGGTGGAGAAGGCTGACTCCAGCCAAGATTTGAGCGAGATCTGGCTGGTTTCAGAGCTCAGATTCCTGATGGATAGGAGGCAGGGGCTACTTGACACGTAGTGGTCTGGGGAAGCCCTCAGCTTTTCTCCCTCACTGCCTGTACATCCTCTCTGGGCCCCCTGGGCATTTTCTGACTGTTTGATCACTGAGTGGCTTAAGTGGTCCCTGAGCTCACAGGGTGACAGGACGACCTACAGGATGGGGGCCTGGGGCTGGTGGCATCTGTGCCCCTTAACTGGGAACAGGCTCCCTCAAAGCTCACTGGTGCTGACCGATGCCACTCATAATGGCACACCTGGCAGGGGCCTCCCTCCCCCCCTCCCCCCTCCCTCCCTCCCCCCCCCCCCTCCCCCTCCCCCCCCCCCCCCCCCTCCCCCGCCCCCTCCCTTCCTCCCCCGTCCCTTCCTCCCCCCTCCCCCTTCCCTTCCTCCCCCTTTGTCTTCCAGAAATCTTCACTCAAAACCCTAGCTTCTGCTTTAGTTCAGGGTGACAATCATCCTACCTCTCCATGCCCATACTAGAAGCTCAGGGAAAAATCCCTACACTTAAACCCTGATAGTTTTCCCAAAGAAATGTTTCCTATGAAATATATCGCACCCCACTGGATAGGTAGAGGAAGTTTTAGTGTATTTATCTTATTTTTTCAAGACCAGGTCTTGCTCTGTCACCCACACTGGAGTGCAGTGGTGCCATCATAGCTCACTGCAACCTCAAACTCCTGGCCACAAGCGATCCTCTGGCCCCAGCCTCCTGAGTAGCTGGGACTACAGGTACAAGTCACAACCCCTGGCTAAGTTTTCAATTTTTGTAGAGACAGAGTTGCCAAGGCTGGTCTTGAACTCCTAGGCTCAAGTGATCCTCCTTATAAGTGTGGCCTAGGGCAAGTTTTAGAGCACAATTTATTGTTTGTATGGCTTTTTTTCTTTTTTTTTAGACAGAGTCTCACTCTGCTGCCCAGGCTGGAGGGCGGTGGCCCAATCTCAGTTCACTGAAACCTCCACCTCCTGGATTCAAGTGATCTTCTGCCTCAGCCTCCTGAGTAGGTGAGACTACAGGTCAGGCTGGGCTTGAACTCACCATGCCCAGCTAATTATTATATTTTTAGTAGAGATGAGGTTTCGCCATGTGGGCCAGGCTGGTCTTGAACTCCTAACCTCAAGTGATCTGCCTGCCTCAGCCTCCCAAAGTGCTGGGATTACAGGCGTGAGCCACCATGCCTGGCCTGTTACAGCTTTAAAAATTTTTTTAATTTATTTTTTTCAGACAGGGTCCTCTCTGTCACCAGGGTTAGAATGCAGTGGCACTATCTTGGCTCACTGCAGCCTCGGCCTCCTGGATTCAAGCACACTTTCCACCTCAGCCTCCAGAGTAGCTAGGACTACAGCTATGCACAACCATGCCTGGTCAATTTTATTTTTTTGTAGAGCTGAGGTCTCATATTGCTCAGGCTGGTCTCAAACTACTGGGCTCACGTGATCTTCCTGCTTCCACCTCTTACGTGCCAGGATTACAGACATGAGCCACCATGCTCAGCCTGTTACAGCTTTATTGAGATATATTTCACATATTACAAAATGCAACCATTTAAAGTCTACAGTTCAGTGATTATTAGTATATTCACAGATATACGTGACCATCGTCACAATCTAATTTTAGATTATTTCAGCTCCTCAAACCTTGACCCCTTGGCAGTCATTCCCCATTCCTGCACCTCCTCTCTGCCACCTGCCTCCTCACCCCAGCCCGCAGCCCTAGGTAATTAGTCATTTACTTTCTGTCTGTGTGGGTTTTCCCACTGCAGACACTTCCCACAAATGGAATTATACCACATGTAGTCTTCTGTGAACCTTCTTTCTAGCATAATGTTTTTGAAATTCATTTATATTGTAGCATGTTATCAGTACTGATCCAGAGCAGGCAAGTCCCCAAATTGGGATTTAGCAGGGGAGGATTCTTGGCTTTGTCCAGGAAGTAATTCAAGGGTGAGCCAGTGGTGTTGGCAACTTTTACTGAAGCGGCAGTGCACGGCAGCAGAGGGCT